AACTCCAACAAATAAAACTCAAGTATTAGGATTTTTGGGCACATGTATATATGTAAGAATGTTTATTCCTAATTTTGGTCATTTGGCAGCACCTTTAAGAAGGCTTACAAGATTAAAAGTGGAGTTTATATGGAGTCAAGAGTGTGAGGATGCTTTTAATTTATTGAAGAAGATTGTTGGGGAAGATATAATATTATCAGCTTTGGATTATAATGAAGAAGCAAGTCCAATTATTCTAGCCGTGGATTCAAGTCATATAGCAGCTGGAGGAGTATTAATGCAAGCGGATGGAAATGGGGAAGTCAGGCCAGTATTCTATGAATCAGAAGTATTTACTGAGGTGGAATCAAGGTATTCTCAACCCAAATTAGAGCTATGTGGCGTGGCAAAGATTCTTAAAAAGTTCAGAACAAAGTTATGGGGCCAACATTTTGAATTACAAGTGGATGCAAAGGCTTTAATTCAGATGATTAACACGCCAAGTTTACCTAATGCTGCTATGACAAGATGGGTAGCTTTCATTCAATTATTTTCATTTGATTTAGTTCATAAACATGCTAAAAGCTTTGGAATGCCAGATGGATTATCAAGAAGAATGCGTGGAAGTGATTCAGATTCAGCTGAGAGTTTTAATGAGGAGGATAAAGATATTAAAGTATATGAAAGTTTTAAATTGCAGAATGAGGATTTAACATCAGAAAAAGAGGAGGAAGAGAGTGGAACAATTTGGGCGCAAGAAGGTGTTTGGAAGTATTTACAAGAGTATTTAACAACTTTAAAAAGACCTGAAGGATGCTTGGATGATGAGTTTCAAAGGCTTAAGAATAGAGCTCCTTCTTATTACGTGGAAAATGAAAGATTGAAGAAAAGAGGAGTACCTTATGGAAGATTGGTTGTTTCAAATTTAGAAGGACAAAGGTTTGTTTTAGAGAAATTACATGAGGAATTAGGACATAGAGGAATTGAGGAGACTTATAAAAGATGTTTGGTAAGATTCTGGTGGCCTGAAATGAAGGAATTTGTTAGAGATTGGGTATTGACGTGTGAAATATGTCAGAAGAAAAGTTCAAAGAAAGAAAAAGAAATGGGAAGGGCAACTGGTGAAAGTACTTTATTTGGAAGAGTGAGCTTGGATGCAATTCATATTAAGGCGGGTAATTATAATTATGCTATAATAGCTAGAGATGATTTAACTGGATGGGTAGAAGCTGCACCTTTAAAGAAGTTAACAGCACCTGCAGTGGCCAAATTTATTACTAAAGAATGGTTAATGAGATATGGTTCTGTTAAATGTTTTACTGTGGATGGAGGTTCTGAATTTAAAGGGGTATTTAGAGATGCAATTGCTATGTCAGGATCAAAGTTAGGGGAATCCACGGCATATTGGCCACAGTCAGAAGGAATGGTTGAAAGAGGTCATAAGGATATTAAAGGAGCTTTGGTAAAATTAAGTGATGAGACTGGGACTTCTTGGGAAACATTTCTACCTCAAGTATTATTTGCAGACAGGATTTCCACGAAAAGAACCACTGGATTATCTCCTTATGAGATGTTATTTAATCAACTAGCAATTTTACCTGTGGATTTGGAAGCTGGGACATTTTTAGGTATTGATTGGGATATTATTTACACTGGAGAAGATTTATTAAAAGCAAGAATGGAACAATTATTGGGAAGAGAAGAATTAATTAAGAAGGCTTATGAAAAGATGATGAAGGCAAGAGTAGATGGAATTATATATTGGGACAAGAAAAATGCGCATAGATTAAGAAATCCATTAGAGAAGGGAACTTTGGTATTAACTTATAACAAAAGTTTAGAATTTCAATGGGGAAAATTATTTAAAAATAGATGGAATGGGCCTTATAAGGTAGTTGAACAACATATGGGAGGTGCTTATATTCTAGAAGAGTTAGATGGAACTCAATTATCGCAAAAATATGCTGCTGAACATGTTAAAAGATTTTATCCTAGGGGTGTGGCAATATTAGCAGAAGAAGAGGAGGTGGGCATTGAAGAGGAAGAGGCGCAATTATAAGTATAAATTACCACTAATAATATTATTAATTTCAAAAGATAAAAATATATATAAAAGATTAAAAGAATTAAAAGACCAGAATAAAAATATAAGATAAGATTTAAAAAAAAAAAATAATAATAAGGATATGTTTCACTAGTTATCAGTATAATAATTATATTAAAATTTTAAAAGAAGATTAAAAATGTACAAGTTAAAAGATATAAAAAAAAAATTAAGGAGAAGAAGGGAAAAGGCGTGGATCAAGCCAGCTTGGAAGTTCATAAATATTAGGAGTATATTCAGAATAATTATAATCAGTATAAGGAGAATTTACAGCGGGAATTACAGGAGGACTATTATTAACATAATTAATTAGAGGAGGTTCAGTATTAGGAGGATTGGTAGAAGGAGTACTGTAGGGGGATAAAATAGCAGCATTTGCACGCTCAGCATGATTAAGGAATGGAATAAAAGTTGCTACAGTCAAACACTCATCTTCACCCCTTCTTGAAACATACTCAGCTATAGAATGTGCACGCAACAAATGATAATGATTATTAATTATGTTTGGAACTTCAAAGCCTGCTTCTTTAAATTGTCTGATTGTATCATCCAGGATCCTCCAAGAATGCCAATTCTGATAAGTTATATAATCAGTTTTCCACGCCAGGTTATGTTCATATAATCTTTCAAAAAATGGATCAGATGTAGTAAAGTTGGTTTCAATTGATGAAGTAATAGAGGGATTAGGGGAATCAGGTGCTGAAGGCGTGTTATTTAAATTAATATTATAAGGGTTAAGGAAATTTATTCTGATAGGAGTATTAGGCGTGTTTGGTGGAGGGTAATTGTTGGCAGGAGAATTAGGTACAGGTGAATTATTGGATGAAGGCGCTGAGGGGTAGGCTATTAAAATTAAATAAAGAAAAGACATTAAAAATTAGTAAAAGAATTAAATAAAAACATTGAAACTTATTATAAAGAAATAGAAGAAAGAAATTGGACTTACAGCATATTATTCCTAGACTATGGCATCTTTGGCAAGCAGGATTGATTTGATAGTGGCAGGAGGAGTTTACCATCCGGCATTGGACACAAGGTGAAGCTACAGAAGGTGAAACAGTGTTGACCATATTGGAAATAAAGGAAAATTCGAGAATTTAGTGATTTGGAGTGTTTAATTGAATTGTTTAATTGATAAACTGGGGGCAGTTTGGAAGAAGAGGAGGATGTGGTGATCAATTTATGGGATCAATTAAAAAATTCACAATTACCAGTTTACCAGTTTATTAGCAGGATTCAGCAGGAAAGAAAATTCGAAATGGAGGTTTTTGATCAATTGAAGCTCTTGTAGGCTTATGTATTGGTCATTAGGTCAACATTACATCATTTTATTTCACATTATATATTAAGATCATTATAGTTTACTTACAAATTTATTACAAAAAGAAAGAAAGAAAAACATAAGAAAAACTCGAAAATAGAGGTATACAGGTTGGAAATGGTTTTTAGGGTAGTAATATTAGGTTTATGGGTTTAGTAGGGTTGGAATACGAAAGAGGAGCATTGTTTTAGTCAGAAACAATTTTAATCTTCAAGGTTGATAAGTAGAAACAGAAGTTATTAGGAAAAAAGCACTTTTTCGAAGTTGGTAAACAAGAGGTACACGTGTAGTTTGGTTGTGTAATAGTGGTAGTGATGGAATTTAAGGTTGCCAAGAGGATTTTCCGGGATTTTTAAGGCTATAGATGATGATGTCATATTACATGAGCAAGAAAAAGATAGTAGTAGCTGTGAAAAGTGAAGAAAATGGGTGAAATTCGTGGAAAATGGAGGTTTTCAGCTAATTACATATGTCAAATGACGTCAGAATAGGTTGGTAGATGGCTCATTCAACGCAGAAGAGTGGATTACATAATGTACAAACTTTAAATCATTAGTACCGGAGGTGTGTGTAAAAAGTTATAAGGCAAATAAAGAATTGGTGTGAATCTCGAATTTACAGTCACAAGTCATATGTAACACTAAAAACCTTAACTTCACAACTCAATATCTTACTCGTCACTCATCAGAAGTAGGTCATGTAGGTGTCAGAAATGATCAGTAACACGTGGGCTACAAGATGCACTTTAGTAATCAAAAATTGGAGCACATCTGAAAAAATTCGTAATCTCAAAAATTGGTTTTCAGCTAGTTTACAAGGAAAAAATCACCTGTATTCATCATAAGAAGTGCTGTACATCATATTATTGCGTCATTGATCACTTTTAGCTGTGAAAATTACATCATTTATTAGTAACAAAACCATTACATTGCGTCATCATAGGGTTTTTAGGGAATTTTGGGCGGATTTGATTGGTTTTGAGGCTGTTGACCATTGTAAAAGTTCTAGTACATTGTTATATATACTTTGAGAGGGTTTTGGGACTGTTGTTCCCCTTTTTTTTATCATTTACGCCATTATTATTTTGTTTATCATCATAAACTTATTTTAATAGTACCTGTTCACTTAAATACACCCTTTATTACAGTTATAAAGAGAAATTTACTTTAGTTTTATAGTCATAAAGACTTATTGGGAATAATATCAATCAGATATTGCTTATTTTTTTTCAGTTATCAATTGGGAATAACACTATAGCAGTGTTGATAGTAATACAAAGTGTGCTTTTGAAGTTAAAATTACGTGTGAAGTTATATTTCTCTGGTGCCTTATCAGTACTCAATACAACAGAGCTCTTTCTGATTGTGTTGTTTTAGAAGAGCAGTCCTTAGACAACTTCTACTAGTCATTTTATTAGTAGATTATCCTCTTCCAGCTCTGTATAACCCTTGTTGGGTTATAAGTTCTACAACGTTCCCTTTTTCAAAGAAATAATTCATCTTATAATACTAAAATTATTACTATTATAAATTTGAATCGCTTATAAACCAAGAAATTATTATTATAAATTCATTGTTCTACTAGTTACTTAAAGTCATGTCTAAGCGAAAGGTCAATTCGAACAAGGAAGGTCAAGAAGTTGTCAATTTACTAACAACTGAAAGCCAAACGAACACGATCAACGAGAAGAATACGGAATCAACCTCTGATGAGCAGGCAAATGCCAACAACATTGGGTCCAACATTAACTCGAACAAACAGGTTAATACCAACAATGTTCAGAGCGACGAAATTGATAAAGAAACAACCAGTAGGTCATTACCATACAAAATGTTTCATAGATGTTTACTAACATGATCTCAAATAGATAAAGACTCAGGACAACCTTCTTTAGATAAAAATCAACCGTCTTCTTCATCTATCGCAGAATCAAATCTAAACAAAGATAATCAACCATCAACTGTAATCGATTTGGTACAGAACGATTCAAAATCAATTGGAAATACCGTCGAGAACTTAAAAAGCGGGAAAGGAAGAATTCAACTAGATGATTCTTATACTCAATTGTTAGGTAGTGAACCACAAGCCAAGGCTCCAGGTGATTACCTTACCTTTTTATCATTTGTCTTTCTTATGTAACTCTTGATAATTGTTAATTAATCAATGAATCACTTTCGATTTGATAGGTGCTGCCTTAACGCCTTCGATAGTGATCACGCAACAAATGAAAGATCTTGATGTAACAATGGAGAAAGCTACAGCAGCAGTGTTAGCCGGCAAGAAAGAAGAAGCGGCATTCTATTTCAGACTCCATGAACAAATGAAATCGATACCAACGAAATCTCCACCTAATCTAATTATTCAAAAAGATGTAATTAATTTAGACAAAGATAAACTGAAACCATCTTCAGCTGCCAAATCTATCGCTTCTACGAAGATAATAGAAAATGGATTCACTTTCAGAGAAGGCGCAACCACCAACACAGATAGCAACGTAGGATTGACTCCCTTCTTCGAGAAAAATATCAACGAATTAAGGCTACCAGTACCTCTTACAATCTTTAACGACGAGTGGCAAGAAGAAGCGTGGCAATACCACGCAGAGAAAAGAGTTAGAAGCGACGAAACGTCCAAAGCTCAAAATCTTTACTCAGGACATCCTTACCCACATGAATTTTCTCAATCTTACATGATATGGAACATCAACTATCAAAATTTCATCAAAACCATACGTAATAAATTCAAATTTGTTACATTAGCAGATTGGTTAGTCATACACAAAGATAATGTAGAAGATTTAAGACAAACGGAGTGTTGGATGGTTGCCTTCAGATATGATATAAAGATGAGATCTTTGTTATTTACTGAAAAAGTCACTTATGAAGATGGAACGACTGGACCGATAGATATTTCAAAGTTCAGAAGAGACATAAAAGAAATTTGTTTTGCTAAATCAAGGAAGTGTGACGAATTAAGTTTTACAGACAACCCGTATGCTGAAGGAGGAGAAAGGTTTGAATGGGACCACAACACAGGTAACCCCAAGAAACAAAACTTATCAAGGAACTCCTCTTACAATAGTAACTCAGGCTACAACTCTAATCAATCGAATCAAAAACGTAATCATCATAACGTCAACAATAATCAGATCGGTAATAACCAAAACGTCTCTCCTAATCCGTCGGGTAGTACTTTTACCCATCCTGAAGGGAAGAAGAGGAAAGGTTATGCTGGAAACAACTTTGACCCGAACTACGTGAGGAAAGAGAAAGGTGGAACTGCCCCAGTTTCAAGTACAAGCAAAACGTAGGTTATATGTAACCTACTACTATGTTTTTCCTTTTTTGCTATCTCCCTTCGTATCATTTTCAAAGCTGTTGTAACGTTATTTATAGTTTAACCTGTATTATTCAAATCCTCGTTCCCTTTCTTGAGAAGCTATCATGACACCCTCTGATCATGTTCACAGTAACTAATTAACAATTATTTTGTATTTGTTTACTCTATGTTAGTTTGTTGGATTGTAATGAGACGTCTGAAATAAATCCCATTGCGGAAGTGTCAAATTATGAAGAAGTACTTGCGAGAGAGATAAGATCCAACGTCAAAGTATTACCAAAAGGTTGGCCTACTAGAATTCAATGCGAGATGAATATCGATGAGTGGAGGAAGGCGCTAAAGAAAGCGAATCTCATTGATGAATTCAAAGACGTGTTACAAGGTTTTCAAATTGGTTTTGATCAGGGCATTCCCCATCATAAGGTATTGAATTGCGAATACTATACGCCAAGAAATCATACGTCATCAATGCTAGCGGCAGAGAAGATTGAAAACAACATGAGACAAGAAGTAGAGAAACGTCGTATGTTTGGACCATATACACACGAAGAAGTCAGCAGTGTATTCTCTTTATTTCGTACAAATCCTCTCGGAGCAGTGGTCAATGGAGATGGTTTGACTAGACCTATAAACGATTTGTCTTATCCCAAGAACAATCCAGAAATACGATCAGTTAATTCTTTCGTAGATGCGGACGATTTTAGGACAACTTGGGATGATTTTAAAAAGGTGGCAAAATTCTTTAGATTATCACATGAAGTTCTATTACTGGCGCTCTTCGATTGGGAAAAAGCGTATTGCCAGATCCCAACATTGATGGAACAGTGGCGATACTTGATGGTGTTAAGCACGACCGGGGAGTTATATTTAGATACTAGGATAACCTTCGGTGGTGTAGCGGGTTGTGGCTCCTTTGGAAGACCTGCTGACGCTTGGAAAAGAATCATGATTGCAGAATTCGATTTGGTCACTGTCTTTCGATGGGTCGATGACAACCTCTTCGTAAAGAGGACGGGTTCGACAACAGACATGGCAGATGTAGTGAAGAGGTCACAGCAATTGGGTGTTCTAACAAACAAAAAGAAATGTTCGAAGTTCCAGCATGAGCAGAAATTCATAGGATTTATCTGGAATGGTTTTAATAAAACCGTTCGACTTCCAGATGAGAAACTACAAAACAAGAATCACGCAGATTGAAGAGTTCATCAACCCAGCAGCATCATGGAATTATAACAAGGTCGACCAATTTGTGGGAAGGCTTAGCCATGTGTCAAATGTGGTACCACAATTGAAGTGTTATTTATGTAGCTTGTATGGTTGGAAAGCAAGGTGGGTACACCCACAAGCAAAGCAAAAGTTACCTGAAGATGTACGAGAGGACGTTAATTTTTGGCTGCTCACGCTCCGCTCTTTCAAAAATCTACGCTTGATCGCGATTCCGGAACCCATCGAAATTGGATGGGTAGGAGACACTTCCGATTGGGGAGTAGGTATTCTGATCGGTACTAAATGGGCACAGTTCCAAGCTATAGATGACTGGCGAGATTCAGGAAAGAACAAACGAACGATTGCTTGGCTTGAGACTGTAGCGATCCGTTTAGGGCTCTTAATGGCTATTAAATTAGGCTTTGGCAAAGGAAGAAATCTGATAGTCTGGACGGATAATACCACCAGTCAGGCAGCACTTGAAAACAGAAAGTCTAGAGATAAAGAGGTAAACGAAGAATGGAAAACCATTCAAAATATCCTCATTTCTCATCAGGTGGATCTCCACCCGAAGAGGGTCATCTCTGAAGATAACATAGCGGACAAGCTATCACGAGGTGATAGACTTATAGAGCTCAATGGTGAAATCCAGCGGGAGCATCACTTGGACGATATGATATTGATCGAGATGCCAGATGATTTGTCTGAAGTCTTGTTTCCTGTTGCTACATCTGCATCTACTTCGTAGCTGATATTGTATTAGTGATCTTGTGACGTAATCAAATGTTTGCCTTCCGATGGTACCAGTTGTTTTTGCCTGAATAGATCACGAAATATAATTGTCAAAACTCTGGAATGAATTCCCAATTGCGAGTAGATTAACTTCTTTTCCACACTTTCCTTCATACAACACACCCTCATCACTCCCGATGACCTCTTCTATCGTTTATAAAGGCCTGTCAGCCTTCCTATCAGGTGTGGTCGATCCGGACCTTAGTCCGTTGAAAGTCCACCTACTAAACGGCTGGAAAGAAAGTACATTGAAGAGCTATAACGGGGCCGTTAAGAAGTTCTTGACGTTCTGGAAAGAGTCGAAATCAGGTGTATTTGAACTACCAGCTGCACCCATCGATATATACGAATTTTGCTGATGGGCGGGACGAGTGGAAGGGAGTCTCACAGATCATGACATCAACTCGACCACCCTCTCCAACTACCTGTCGGGAATCAAGGCTTGGCACTTGTTCCACGACCGACCTTACCCCCATGTTACGACTGATCGAGTCGCGGTTTTACTTCGAGCATCAGCGCGTGCAGATGCCCTCATACCGAGGAAGCCTCAAAAGCCAGCAGTTTTAGTGGAACACATACTGGCCTTATACATGAAACTCAAGGCCGGCTCACCAGCGGACCAGGCAATCCTGGATTGTGCTATATGCGCCTTTTGGGGGCTGGCTAGACTAGGAGAATTTACCTACGACAACAAACACGGGAAGCCCGCGTGGATCAACTCTGTCCTTTGCAGCGACGTACAACAGTCACCGTTGACAGCAGGTTTGGTAATCATCTCTGTTCGAGGTGCGAAGACCGCTAAGGCAGGCCAGGCTCAGCCGATCTTGCTTAACGCACAACCTAACGTATTATGCCCCGTCGCCGCGGTGAAACGGCGTGTCTGCTCTTCCTTGCAACCATTGGATTCACTCTTTGGCTACTGGGAGGGAGATGACAGAATCAACTTGACTCGCACAATGGTAGTAAAACGCTGCAAAGAAGTGTGGGACGCCAAAGGTTGGACCACTTTGACTGGACATTCATTCCGTGTTGGTGGCGCGTCGTTGCGACATGCACTCGGCATTCCTGACAAAGATATCCAAGCATTGGGTCGATGGACGTCCAATTGCTACTTGATATACCTTAGGCAGTATAGCGACGACGAGTTGCGGCGTACTACCTCACTCATATCGTTGATGAACAGCCAGCACGTCGTTGAGAAGGGTACCTAGGTATGTCACTCAGATGTCTCTTTTGCACAGTGTGGGGGTTAGCGCGAGGCTCAGGCTTTTTGAAACCTCTGAGTATTGGGCTAAGCGCTAACCCCTCTTGTGCTTAAGTCTCCGTCTTCCGCGACGTACTCTGATGTCGGCTACCCCTCCTTACGTCTTCCCCTTTTAGACAAACTCGAGAATCCAGTCCTTTTCGTCTGGATCCTACAGCGGCACTAACATGGTCAAATTCCCTTCTCTTGGACGGTTTCTGTGACCTTTAGTTACCCCCTCCCGAGTCTCATCTAAGCGTAGACGGTTTAGGGGCACCCTACCCCACACACGTGATAGGATTTCACGCGTACATCTGAGTTGTAAAGTTTCTATTGGTTTCTGTACAAGAATTATTTTTAATGATTAAATGCAATATAATAACAACTTTTAAATCCGTAAGGATCTTAGAATCAACGATGATTCACTCACCAAAGTCAGCGCCTAAATGACCCAATAAGGTAATGGACAGAAGATTTTGTAAAACAAAAAAATTTGTATAAAAAAAAAATTTGTGTATGAAAAATTTTTGTATAAAGAAAGGATTTGTATTTGAAACAATTTAAATAACAAAAAATTTTGTATAATTTTCTTTTGAAATTCTTGTATTCATTATAAAGGTTCTCAACCTTACACAACTTTATAGAAGGACAGAGCAAACAACTTCATTTGAGCAAATTGTGAAAAAATCAAACACAAACTTGGCATATTTTTTAAACAAAAAGCTGACATATCTTTGAAACAAAAACTCAACATACTTTTCAAACAAAAACTTGACAAACTTTTTGCATGCATGTTTATGCCATTGGTACACCTTGATCAATATCCATGGCATCTGCCAATTCTTGCTGTAGAAACGTAGAATCCAAGTCACCCAAGCTTGGCAATGAGTAATCCTCAGCGGCTACCACAATGTAACTAGGCAATGTTAACCCCAAGGTCCACGCAGGCAACTTACGATGCGAGAGAGTTGACACAACGCTTGATGCTGACACAATTTCAGTTTTTGATGTCTCAACCAAACGGACCATGCTCATCCTTTCAAATATCTGATCCAAGACATCATCCCGTACCACCTCCATCCATCGAACCATAGCTACCTCATCTGTCATGTCTTTTACCATCAAGATATGTAAAACAACTCCCCAAGCTACCTTGCCGTTCACATTGATCTTCACCAAGTTGTTTGGCGATTTTTTGCTGAATTGCATTCCTTTTTGACATTTCAATCCAGCCACCTCTTTTGCATATGGTCCCAGAACGCGTGCATCCATTGGATGTGGGAGATTACGATAATCGGTCCAAGACGGCTCTTGAATTTGATAATACCCCAGTAGCGTATTGTAAGTATGGTCATCCACCTCAAAAACTCCCCCAACGTTGCGCTGTATTGTGTTTTCAACAGGCCCTCGGTATTCCGGGGGGGGCTTTAGCCGCTAGTCGCTGCAAGTGGCAAAACCGCCGCATCATGGTTGGTGCCATTTCATCTACAATAAGCAAACCAAATGTGAATGACTAGTAAAAGACAACACAAGCCAATATGATGAAATCGTACATACCAACTTTTCCATTAGTGTTGACGAGGTACCGGGTGGCCAGCCACCCCCTAGTACTGGGTGGCCCGCCACCCCCTGGTAACAAGGACCGTACCTGCACTCAATCCATGAGGAACTGAAGCATTGGCACACAGTATCTTAGCAAAATGTATTTAGATGACAGCACGCCATGGCCGCCCTGCACGGAAGAATCAAGAGGCGTAGCTAGGAACCAAACTCTTTATACAGATATATCACAGTAAAACAGGGTTGATGACATCTACCATCTTCACAATCCACTTGCCCGCATGTCCTGCCGTATTAACCACTTCCCCTGAAAATGCGATTACTTCACCAATGGTAATGGAACACCTTTGCCCCCAGCCTATTTCTTTCACATCGTAAATGTAATCCATTTCGAAAAGACTGAATTCCAGACACTAGAGTTGCACGTTAGCTAATCCGGATGCGGCTTTGAAGCTCATTGTCACTTACACTATTGTCCCATTCTTTATGCATCAGGGTGGCAACCCGCCACTCGTCGCCGAACATATCGGTACAGACCAAAGCATCGCAAAGGACCAGACCCCGACCCGACACAGTTAAGCCTGGCGCATCGGTTCCAGCCGACGTATCTACCACGCTACCCCTTGATGCATCATGATCCAGGACCAACTGGGTGCGCCGCTCACGGCTTCCCCGCACCACTTCCCCGCTCAAGTAGCAGGGCCCAAGCAAATAATGTGCTTGCACCGCGCCCTCTTCGGTCAGTAGGACTGGCGAGGATGTTCTTGCTGAGAGTCCTAAATCCACCGTCGCATCGTAAGCCCTGCGTTGAAGGCCACTGTGAGATCGCTGAGGCAATCGCTTCATGTCAGGAGCCGCCGACAACCAAACCAAACACGACTCACCAAGCTAACTACGTCCAATACACCAAACCATTTAACCGGCAGTCTTTCATACGTGCCCACTCCGTGTGCAGCATCCATCTGGGCGACGTGTTCAAAAGGTTGTTCGCTTCAACTGATCTTGATACCGACCACGAGTATTGTACAATTAGGAGGAAGATTTTGGGATAGGAGTGTAATGGACGACTGAACCTTTCAGCTAACTCGCCTCTTCAAATACAAATTAGATTGGCCGTAGCTTACGTCCGCCAAAACCTTCAGAAATTCTGTTCCTCTTTGGCATCGCTGGCCATCTCGAGCTGTCTAGCCCAGCCAGCTTCACGAACGCCTCATCCGGGCTAAAACATCAGGCTTGCGAAAGGCATAGGCAGCACCAGCACTCTTATTACCTTCTGCCACGCCGGCTCGCCAGGGTTCCTTAAAGTCAGTGTTTCCGTCGCAATGCCTCTTTCACTGCTCTACTCTCGCTCACCAAATCTTCACTTACGCTGTCAACACCATGGCACTACCTCAAATGCCAGTTCACATTCGATCAGTCTTGCTGTTAGGCGACCAGGTTAGTACTGAATGTCCTACAACTTTTGTGGTTTTTTTGTCTGATACTGTATCTGTAGCTTCCAACGCAATGTCGACAACCAACAGTCACGTCCCTATTTGAAAGTGCAATCTTTGTGTGCTTCGACCGACCCGAATTCATCCCTGTGACCGTGACATCTCCAAGTATGGATACCCCAGTCGAACCCCACCGCGCATACTTGCTACGTGGCAATCTCTTACCTCGGTTTCACGACAGCAACACGACCCTTCTGGTCACCTCGACCGCATACGCTACCTTTGACCCCAGGATCGACAACAATCACCTATCTCCACGAGCTTTAATCTCCAGCATCGGTAGGGTTACCGAGTGCCATTTCTCACAGCAAGATCAGCGGTGGATCGTCAGGGCTCTTCACCGCGACTATGATCCTATGGTAAGCCGTCCTTAGTGTTGTCATTTCCTACGCTAACTAACATTTAATAGGCCCTAAACATAGTCGATTTCGATGTAGAGTACACTCTCCAACGTGCCATTATGCGAGACATTGGCCTCGAGCTGTTTGCGGTTGGGAACATTTTAGGCTTCAACGGTACGATCTTCGGGTATGACCAAGATCACGCCCGATGGATTATACATGTCAGTTCACAATTTACACATTCCCACATTGCAATGCACTTGTTGACTCGAGCTTTGACAGTTATATGAAGCAGAACCAATGCAACAATAAGGTTTGGGATTCAACCGATGCTAGCAGGCTACATACATGTTTTCCCTGGTCTGACCACCCCGGCTAGCTGTTTCGCACAACTGGTCTTTCTGAAGCGATAGCCTCAACCACCATAGTTTGTTAACCACCCCCACGTTGTGAACCTTGACCTCAGTGTGAGTAATACACGTCTATGTTCTAGCGCGTACTGACTCCTAAATGCGACACCAGCGACTCATGTCCGCAGTGCCTTCCAAAACCGACATCGTCCCTCTGCTTGTCTATTTAGCCATCAGGCTGCCTGTTTTACCAAGTACCCGTCGCGCCTCATTGATCATAAAGATCGCCAAAATAGACGAAAGTCAAAATACTGCTTCCTGTCTATAGGTCATTGTCGTTTGCCCTCGATTCTCACATGTCACGGTGAACGATGACTCTATGTACCTGTCATCGCTGCCGCGTTAAGGCTTCTCCGGCTGCCGACGTTCAGCAAAGTGTGACTGTAGCTTCCAATGCTGCCACCTTAAAGGCTTCCTCGGCTGTCTAGAATCTGCCTCAGTGCTACCCTTGTCTAGTGGGTGAATCATTCTGTGCTGTCTGATCTCATAACGGTCTCAATGCTAATTCGGCCTGAGGCTCTTGCGCCTCTTCCGTACCGATTTTAGTAGGACTCCGCCCTTGTCTGCCAGACTGTGATGTGTTGTAGTCTATTGACCGCGCAATTCATGAGTCCTCGTGCTCTCAATCACATTACTATTACTTTCCATGAAATAGAACTCAAATTGCAACCCGGGTCCGAGTAGGTGGTGGATAGAGATGGGTTTCGGAACACACTCCTTCATACTTCATGGCATAGAACCCTGAATCTAGTGACGCCGCGTTGGGCGAGACAGTTCTCGATTTGTCACGGACGTCTTAACGTCCTCAGAATCCTATTCTACAGAGGCCGCCTCGATCTTAGTTGCCTGACAAACCGTTCTGGTCAGTAACTTCACACAAAGGTATCTAATTGGATACTAACTATGACAATCCAAACCCTTTCCTGCTGGGCGTACTTCAGCACAGTACCGACCAATGAGATAACTGTGCCGACGCGGCATACTTCCGTAGCGAGTCCTGAGATTATGCCTTCTCTATCAGTGTATAATACCCCAAATTGGAGAATCTGGCCTGACTGTTGTGACTCGTCAGTTACAGGCTATCCCAGTAAGAGTAGACCTTGTGCTTACGCTTGGAAGCCACACGTTGTGACGGACCCATAGACACCACCAGCCGTCCGTACCTAAGTCTGGTCTTACCGACTCGCGCCTCAAAACCTCGCCTCTTCCCACCACACCAATAACATTCATCGACTCGTGGGCTAGGGTAGCAAGACTTGGTGTCAGATGGCAGACCTGCTCAGCGGTTACAAATGTCAAACCATTCCTTGCAGGACATAAAGCGTTGCCAACGAAAGCGATGGTTGCGCCAGTTGGAGGAGCTACACTGTTTGCAATCGAGATTTCAAAGCAAGATGAGTCCGTAGCGTCCAGTGGATTTCTTGCAAGACAACGGTACGATTGCCGCTCGCCGTATCTAATCGCAGACTGGCAAACCTTGTCAGCTAAAGCATGTAACAGGTGGAAAATTGAGGTACTCACTTCTAACGTCACGGTGCCATTCCACTCAATTGTGAGGTCATTTAGAGGTGGCATAGTAAGGCTCGGCAATTTGCGTCTTGGTTGCAACCCTCGGTAGCGTAACTTGGTATGTGTCGTTAGTAGTCTTTTAAGCCCGACTTCGCAGGCTTTTCTCTCTTGCTATGGGCATAGAAGGACCTAATGCCGGTCATACGTTGACTAACTGATTGATATTGGTACATACGGTCATACGTTGACTAACTGATTGATATTGGTACATAAGCTTGTCCTGAATGTCTCAACTTAGAGTGCGCACTGTGATTGGACTTAATAAGGGACAAGTCTAAATCGCGCTCTAGCATTTCAATACGGCAAGTGACGGTCTCGATATTCGAATCCCGAGAGTAGTGAAAGGTGTTGACGCTGTGCACGTACTTTTCAGGCGAGTCGCCCTGTCTTAAGGGATCGAAGAGCCCTGACGATTTCGTCCTGCCATGATCGCAGAAAGTAGTATTTCCGCCAATACCGACGTGACTCTAGCTACACCAAAAGTGCTTACCGACTACATCTTTTCAACCCGGTAGCCCTCTATCTACCGTCGCAGTCTTGTGAACAATGGCGAACCATGGCGATCCTTGTATGACGGTCAATTTCCGCGGGCTTTTCCGACTCGATGAAGAGGTCAGTTTGTAGAGCTTTAGCATGGCCCGATAGTCGTTTGTTGCTAACCTCCCATGCGGACGTAGGTGTCTGGACAGTCCTGGAGCGCCCTCCACCCCCACTGGTTTCGGGCTCCTATCTATCTACCGATGATTCACGGTTGGTATAGGGAAGTGTTTGTGCACTTTGGGCAGGAGCCAGCCTCATTTGGCAGAGCTCGTTGTGTGTGGCTTACGGGAGAGGTTTACGCCAGAACTGAACTCCGTGATACGATGATTAGAGTCAGAGCGGGTTTTGCTGTCGTGCAAGACGACTACGTCTCTCAATTACCTGCTCCGCTCCCTATCATTACGGCGCATAGCAGAGGCTACGTACTGCGCTTTGACCGGCGAAATTTCGACCGCTGGATTATTGTGGCCTTGCATAACATTTCAGACAATAGTGTAAGCTACTTTCCTTCCGGAATGGAGTATTTGACTGACATGCTTTTAGTCAGCCCAGGTTATTCACTTCAATGTATTTTACGAAGCCTCAAATGAGGTTGTAGCTGCAATCGGCGAAGAGGTGTTCAAGCTGGGCAATATTGTGAATTTTCACGGTGAGGTCATGCACTATTTCCGTCGAAGTGGGAAATGGGTTGTCAAGGTAAGCTGCACGTCACTGCGTCATAAATACTTCACTAATTGTGAGTAGCTACGCGCAGCACACTCGGAATCGATGGTTAGACCGACGGGAATGATGCAAAGAAGACGAGCCTTGGCATTGTATTAATGCATTAACGGCCGCACGCTTCACCCTCCGCTGGGCTTACATGTGTAAAGCTGGGAAAAAGAATCGCATGAAATGTAGCGTGGTGGGATTTTTGTTCGGCGAGCGGAAAGCACTGCATGGGAACATGTTTCAGCCATGTCGGCCTTTTTCATCTCATCTTGAAATTACACCTCCGTCCAATATTGACCGTGCTGAAATTCTTCGGGACGTCTTGAGCCGGGCTCAACCGCTACCGAGATTCCAAAAGCAGATTTGATTCTAATGTGCAAAGCTTGGCATGGCAAGCGACGCATACTGCGCAAGTCGTGGTTTATCTTTCAAATATGTTACATTGGTATATGACCCTGGGTGACTGTCAACATTATGTACCTACATGTATCCAACTTGATGACCTGTCGACTATTAGCTCCTTGGATGTTAAAACATGTGTGCGAAGAAGACAACTTTGATAACAATTATGAAGGCGTTGATGATTGTAGAGGATAGACAACAAAATGACGACTGTAAGTTGAGTTGAACAATGAGTTCAGGTGTAAAAGTACAGGTAGATTGCTTAACACCGATTCCATGTGGTCACAACAGAAAGATAAAAATAAAAGAGAAATTCAGTATTTTTAATGAAATTTGATGTTTTATTTAGATGAATTTGAAAAAGAAGGGTAAGTAAAGGGAGAAAAACTGGTCGGATCATCACAGGTGAAGTGAAGTGAGGAAAGCATGATTAAAGTAAATTAAATCATGTGTGTCGAATCCTGAATTACCTTAAAGTGACTCTGGAATATATCTTAACGTTGAGGAGGGTGAGGAGAGGTTGTACTCAAAAGATGCGTATTGCAGAGTAGGTGAAAGAAAGAGACGTAGAAAAGAGTCTGGAAGCGCAGGTAATAAGAGGATGGAATCCAACCTTCCTCACTTGGACATCTGTAGCTTTATGAGACGAAGCGCTCAGTACTCGAAGTCAAGTGCAGCGGACGGCAGAAAAGGGAGATTCAAAATTGAATTGACCTTACTGAATGACGCTCTTCGAGACGACGTTGACTGTCATCGCGCTGTTCGAGTCGGCAAGCAAGACGGTCGTATGCTGGGCTGAAGTGCATCGCGTTAAACCTACATAAAGTTGGCCATGCGCGAAAACTGGGGTAGGCAATACCATGACAACCCTCTCGACGGTCTGGCCCTGAGACTTGTTGATGGTCATGGCGAAAGCTTGTGTTACCGGGAATTGTGAACGGTGGAAAGCTATGGGGACAGTGGCGTCGCCTGGGTGCTGTAGTGTAATGCGTGGCAGAAAGACTTGTACGCCTCGTTTTGGCCCGGTGATAATAAGGCAGTGCAGTGCATTATCAGACAGAGCAAGGATCAGTAACCGTGTACCATTGCAAAGGCCCCGTCGTAGATGTAGATTTCGGAGTAAAACTACTACGCATCCTACCTTCAATTGTAGGTCGTGTTGGGGGAAACCAGAAAAGTTAAAAGAATTAAGGATATCGACACTGACTTGCTCGGCCCAGTCAGCCTGCATTATATCCACCGACTTGTAATGCTTAGCAAGCCCAGGTAGCATCTTCAGAACATGTTGATTGATTCGATCGACGGTCTTGTTAAGCGGCGTTATGATTACTCGGGCCGAGAAGAATGCTGCCATCTGTGCCCAGGCCTGCCTGCCTAGCATTTCAGTTACACCTGAATAGAACGAATCGATAACCACCTTGTCAAAGGCGGCATTGGCGTTGAACGGAATCACGTTGACGTATTCCAGGGGGATTGAGGCGACAGCGTCGGATTGAAGTAGACCGTCTCCCACTTGTAATAACCACGACGCAAAGCCTTCGTTTCTGAGTGAAGTATCATTGGGGTGACCTTGGCGCAACCTCATGTTTGTAGTTAAGCGGAACTGAACGACAGAATCCCACAAGTAAGAGTGCTTTATGCACGCTCGGACTGAGTCTTGCAATGTTCCCATCCTGACGACAGGGAGAATTTGACGAAAGTCGCCGGAAAATAGTATGGTTGAGCCACCGAACGGCTGGTCGTTGTCCCTTAGATCTCGCATTGACCGGTCCACACATTCGATGGCGGCCTTGTCCATCATGGAAATTTCATCCCAAACGATGAATTTTGCACACGCTAAGAGCCTACCAGTCGCATCAGCCCTAGTAAAATTGCAAGTTGAAGTACTATCAGGCGACAGTGGTATCTTCATGACAGAGTTTGCCGTGCCACCATTCAATAAAAGGAGTTCTGCTATGCCGGACGACGCCACCGCAGCAAAAGGGATGTTGTTGGTGTAGCAGTAATTTAAGCAAGTGTTGAGTAGGTAAGTTTTACCTGAACCGCCTGGCCCGTCGACGAATAACATACTGCCTTCTTCGGACTGTATCGAGTGACGGAGCAATTCAAAGATTTCGGATTGCTGTAAGTTGAGGGACTGGATTGCAGTGTCCAATTCGGCTGGGGTGATTGGTGCCTGACCGGCAGCGTCGTCATGGTCGGTGGTACCACCACCAATCTCGAATAACAGTTGGAGATCAACATCGCAGAGACCTACTTCTTCTAAAGTTTTACCCATGCTGAGGACGCAGCTCTCGAGTAAAGACAACCCATAGTTGTGTATCTGTGCAGTTGTTGCCGTTAACGTAGGCGCAATGAGGGCGAGCTGGTATTCACAGTCGTCACATAGGTCCTCCACGTGGTCTTCCCAGAGCTTAAGAGGATTGGCTGGAGGACTGTGGACCAAGATCAGGCCAAACATATCACGCAATTGTCTGCCCGTTTTCCAAGCAGCGGCTTCAGTCAGACAAGCATCAAAGTGAGTGTCGGATAATAGGAGACCAAGCGCATCAGCGGCACCCCGAAAGGTGCGATGTAATACACCGTTAACGGTTTTCAGATTGTCGAAAGAAGTGGGACCCCTGACTGTAGTTAAGAGTAGTCGTAAGTAATACCTTTCACCCTGCGAAGGTCCGGCGAAGTGTAGTCGGGCAACAGCAATGGTGTTATTGACTCTTCGTATCCACATCTTCGCGGTCTTATCCCACCAGTAAAAGGCTGGCATATCACCGTAGAGCAAAGAACGAACTGGGATATCAGTCTTCAGTATCAGACCACCGGCGTTGCACGTAGCGAAGAATTCTGTGAGGGTTGTGCGTCGTGCCTGACCTGAGTCGACTTGGTTGCGTAGAGAGTCGTTGTTGCGGAAGTACACAACTTGGGAGTCGGGTAGGTGCAACATTAGCCTGGTAATCGATGGGTAGCGCCCAGACAATGAGTATTTGTACAATTGCCAAATGGCTGCTTCAAGTCTATCAGTATCACACGCTTAGAATGGAATCAATAGCATCGCTTACCTTCAGGAGAAGCCAATGTACGACCATCAACAAAATCATTGGGTTCATTCTCGACTTCAAGGCTAACTACACTGCGGTCGTGACCTTTGGAGATGTATTTGTATAAATACTTGATGGACTTCATTCCCAGAGTTACTTCGACATTTATGTGACATTGAAATTTGAGAAGAAGAAAAGCGTTGTAAGGAACAACATCGCGATTAGTATACTGGTATCCGTTTTTGATAAAGAATCTTCCGTCGTCAGGTCGCTTATATGCGGGGTAAGCTTCTTCAGTAATAGCTGTGGTCGGAGTGAATTCTTTCGGGTACCCATATTTACATTTAAACCCATTCCAACAGGCTTTGCCTTCGTAACATGGGCCGTGGAGCATGTACTGAGTAACATGTTCAAATAGATCGGGAGAGGCTGTAGGATCGGGTAGTACTGCGGAAACTGCTAGGTCGACGGCTGAAGGAGTTCGCGGCGCGGACTGAGCATCATTGATCAAAACGGAATGATCATGAGGGTTGCCTCTTTTCTGGAACTCGACTGTATGGACGTAAGACAGATTTTTTCCGAGCCGGTCGCGCTTGAATATATCCTCATGGAGTTCTTGCAGCTTCAGTTCGAAGACACGTGCAACCAGATCTGGGCGATCATCAGAAGTTTGGCCGTGTAGGAGAGCGGCGGTAATTTCCGGCCATTTGGGGTTCGCCGTCATAGTTACGAAGTAGCTGGGAGGACCGTAGGCCTTCACTAACGCCATCGCGTCGTGGTAAAGTTCATGCATAGCTCTGGGGCCACCTATAAAGCTTGATGGCAGTATGATCCTTTTGCCTACAGTCATGTCTTTGTTGGTGAGAGCCTCTGTTACGCCTTTGTACAATGCAGCGCGGATCTTGCTTTGATTCATTTTGAAGTATTTCATGCGGGCGTTTTCAACGCATACATACATATCAACGATATATTCTTGTAGTAGTCGGCCACCGCGTAAGATGGGTGAGAAGACGCCTGACCTGGTGAACAAAGTGAAAGCTGCCCATTCGAGGTTCGATACTTTGCCACTCTCGCCTGCAATAACGAATGTCAGCATATCTGCGCTCAAAATTCAAGGGTAATAAGACTAACGTTTGTTATTCATGTGACGGTAGTGTTCGTCCCACCCATGTGATCCGAACATGAAGAAAATTGGGTATCTCAAAGAGAAATAGTTAGTGTTGAGTTCGCAGATCCGCCTTAATGGGCCATCGTGTCGTCTCAATATGATGTCGCGGTCTTTTGAGCCTATTTCACCATCCCCCTCAATCACCGCGGCGACCTCGTTGCAGGTTGGAAAGTTGTAGCGGTTGGGGTCTCTGCCATTTAATGCCATTGATTTAATTTTGATTGTCTTAACGGCCGCGCCGTCGAGAACTTGTTCAGCGGACTTGTACAACTTAGCAAATGGATTGTGACGATAAAGGAAATCTTGGAAAGTCTTGATGATGTTAGGCTCCAAGCCACCACCAGCACGGGCGTTTCGATTCATTGCTTTGTCTTCCCCTTGGTCGCCGTACATGAAAATCTGTGCAAATTTTCGCGGCACACCGGGGGTAGGCAGGAGAGAACCAATCTTGTGCGTCAAACGGCCGACGATCTTATACGTCCAGCTACCACCGTTACCAGCTACGGAAACGTCCTGCTTCGTACCGGTAGAAGCAAAGGACAGTGAGTTGTTATAACGTCGAATTTCGTGTCTAAACTCTTTCGAAGCTGAAAAGACCAGTCAGCAAGGAGCAGGTAAGTCGAAGTGGAAGGCTTACCTCGGTCCTGATCGGTTAAGAGCCGCTTTAGAAATTCTGGTGTGAGTTCGTTCTCATGGGTAGTGCTGGGTAGCTTAACCGCGCCTTCTTGGCAGCAAGCAGCGTAGACTGCCGTTTCCGCAGTGAAGGTGCCTCGTTGGCGTTCCAACTTCCAATGGAGTGCGCCGCAATACGAGCATGGGTCGTCGCAGGCGCCAATGTTGTACGGGAGTTCTGCTCCAAATCGAGCCTTAATGGCTGTTTCAGAGTTCTCAGCTTCATTTCGAACCGCAGGGCCGTGATTTACCATAGAGAGAAATGTTCTGGAGAGGAGCAGTGGTAAAAAAGAGTGCATGAGCGAACGGTCAGAGTAAGGAAATTACTGAAATGAATGGAGATCAGGGAGAAACTAAACGGGGTCACCAAGTTTGGGAGAAGGAACGGGGGCTGTGAATGCAAGGTTGGGTTTCAAAGGTATGAAGAAGAGGTGGAGGTTATTATGTTGTGAAGCAAGTGATGCGGTGACAGTGAGGGAAGAGGGCCTCGTCATGAAGGCTGAGTAGGCCTTATATAAGGGGATCGACAGGAGATGAATCGTTGATCTCAGCCTGGAGTGCAATACTGGGAGTGAGCAAAGAGGCAAATGAAGGCTGTTGAAGGGGCTGAGCTCGCCTTTGGTTAATGAGCCATTCAATGATTCAGCTCAATTAGGCTGAGCGCTCATGAAGTGAGTGGTTTTTTGTGTTGCCTTTGTTCATCTTGAATCTAAGGACTTCAACGTAAAGATGTCAACTTCTTAATTGACGAGTTCCCAAAAGCTGCTGAGTGAGGACTCGCTGAGAAAGATTCCCCCAAACACTT